TTAAAGAATAAAAATCGAAGGTGGATTTGGAAAGTGAATTATTATTGACATTTATCTCTATTGAAGTATCAGGAATCTATTTGGGCTTGAGTTACCAGTAAACTAAAAGTTTAATATATCCTTAGCTCATTATTATAACTCTTTGGAGATGTTTATAATGAAGTAGGTAATGTTTTTTGTTTTTGTAATAGAGTACCACCAAGAAGAGCTCGTATATGACAATAATATTAAGATAATGCGAGAAAAACATTTTCTCGACAAGCCGAGTTTATGCCTAGGTATATCGAACAAACATTTTAATGTTTAGGTTATAATTCAATAATTTTTGAAATGCTCATATTCGTTTGCTAATGAAAGGTTTATACCTGAGAAATATGGAAATTTTCAAACTTCCACGATGTGTATATTATGTTGAAACGGACCTTCGGTTTTATTCTCCAAAATGGTTATTAGAATAGGTGATGAAACGAATTTTCGGAGAATAGATTTTGATACGTTAACAATTTGAATAGGGTTGTAAAGAAGTTGATAAACCGATTTCAATTAAATTCCAGGAGTATATATATGTGACCACAAAGAGCACTCAAATGTGCAATAAAATATATGCCATTTAAAAAAATATATCATTATATCGCCACACTCTTTTGGGACATCCTGTATAATCTAAAATATTTTTCTTTAAGCGCCCTATGAGACAGATGAAGTCTGCAAAATAACAAAATCTTAAATCAACTAATAACTGAGCTATAGAAGACGGGAGGTGAGATGCAGGATCCTGTATATCAAAAAGTTCCACAAAATTATATTTTCTGTTCATTCATTAATACACTCTTTGTTCCTGTTATACAGCATTAATTTTTTGTACTCTTCCCAGAAGCCATCCATCCATATTAGCACTGATGTACCTACAACGGATTCAATCGTGGCTGATAGGTGCAGATATCGTAATATTTTTTCCATATTTTTAATGGCCATCGGACCACATAACAACAATCATTTATAATTACAACAAAAAAATATAGAAATGGTGTGGGTAGGCACATTTTTGATAGTGTTCAATGAAAATCTGTCACTAAATTGAGTATTTATTTCCATTTTGAAGAGAATTCGTACATCGACATCTTCAAAAATAAGATGTGATTAAGATGTGACAAGTGCCAAGTTTGGCAAGACGAAAGTGCATCAGTGCAAACACCATATACTTAATGAACATCTCTGCAGTCACACGTGCTCCTTCGCAAATCGCGATTCTAGCGAATTTTATTGGACTGATGGCTGGACGCTGATTTTCTACTTGATGAATCCGAACATGAAGTTTGCTACTAAAAAATCCTGCAATAGATTATCATTTGACAGGGGCGACATTATTCTCGGAAATATTGGAGCTCTGCCAGATCAGTTCGAATCGCAGCACGTTTGGATATTCGCAATAAGGACATTAACCCCTTTTATTTGCTTCTTGTTTCAACTTTTCAACACATAAAACGGCAGCAAATTGCTGTGCCGTGGATTTGCCTCAGATTGAGGGCTGACACAGGTAGGTTTATGATATCTACCATTCAATTGGTATCGGCATAATTCTTATCTCGTTATCAAACCGCGAAATTAGGTGCAAATTACCGCACAGGAAAGTGCAATTCTTCCATCAATTTGCTCAGGATAGTGATTGGCCAGGTCCCGTTCGATTAAATACAATGTTTTTACATGCTTTTGGAACTACTAGCAGTTCATACTCATGGAAGCGGAGCGAGATCCTCTGAGAACAAATCTATCTACGCCACTGATCCACTGACGTCGACTCTCCGACAACTTGTTCTTGTTATATTTCCAACTGAATTTATACTTTTTCCGCGAGGGAGCAATGTAACGTATAGGCAACTCTTCGTCTTTTTTGTCGATACAAGGTAATACGAAGATATTATATGACGAGAAAAACATGAAACTTGCCCCAATGGGCACATAAAAGTTGATTCACGACGGAAGAGTATCTGATAGTTATTTAACCAAGTAGTGTATTAATCGCCATTAATATAGGAGTTGGTCACAAAATTTTTCCGTCGACTATATTTCGCCTGCAATGAACAAAACTTGGTTCGTCCGGAAACTACTTACATTATGTTGTAAATGAATATTTTTGTGAAACCTTATACACTCTGAATTATTAAAACAGAAATTTAGCGAAAACCATGACAGTAATCGAGTCTTATCAAGAGTACCTTTTTCAAAGTAAATGAGTTGTGCAATCTAAATTTCATACTCAAACTTCTTTTATTCCATTGGCGTAGAATTGTGAAAGGTGCAATTATTTAAAAAAATCAAGTTCTACGCCTATGGATTAATAACGGGCAAAAATTTAACACCATTTTTTTGACACATAAAACTATCAATACACCAAATTTCAGCAAAATCGCATTTGTAGTTTTAAATTTATATGGGAACAACGATTTAAAAATTGTAACTTCAAGGCCCTCTGGAGCCCATACGATGCAACTTTGTACAAATTGTACAAGGGTAATTTTACTTAAATCGATTTATTTTGGTCTAAGGAATATGTGGTATGTTTTTGTAAAGACCTTTTACAGACACCCTGTATATTCATTGAATGGTGCAACAATAAAGAAATGAAGATACCGAATAAAGAAGTATTTTTGGCTCATTTCCTAGAAGTGACTGAAACCTAGAGACCAAACACCTTATGGGCCTGCTGGCTTATGCAATGAATCTATACATGATGCGTCAAACTGTAAGTTCACAATAGCTATTACTATTAATCAGTAGATATAGAGAATAAATTTATCTTGTTAGTTGTTCCTACATGAATGAATAATTGAATAAATCAATCAATTTCCTACGCTTGTAGAAAAAATATTGTTCCTAACTCATGCGGATAGTGTCTTTCCCGCACTCGACTGCTTGCCCGAACTCCGCTTCGCGTCGTTCGTGTCAACGGCAGTCTCGTGCGGGAAAGAATCACTTTCCGCACTTGTTAGGAGAATTTCTATTTTTCTCACGGGAAAAAAGTGGATGATTTTTTCCAGGGTACATACAGAGTGTTTCAGATTGAAATGTACATACGATACCTGTAGATAGAGGACGCTTCGATGGTTTCAAATCACCCCCCCATTGATGTGTCTAACGTCTTTTATAACTGAGATATAGGACGTTAGCTGGATTTTGGCAAAATCATCATCTGGTCATAGCTTTTGAACCACTTGGTATAATCTATCAATACTTGATAGAAATATTTCACTTATATTACCCATCAAAACTTAATGAATATCGGGATCAGAATCCAGGTCCGTCTTGAGGAAAAACAGAAAACTCCTTTTTTTCGAGAACAACACTCTGGCCATCTAGTATTCTCATGTATGGCAACATTTTGTAGATCTCTTTCGATATTTGAGAAGAGGTGTGAAAAACGAATGAAGTGACCTACTTTTTACGACCGCGCATCCGATTTGACAGGTGTTTTATTATTATTCTCTGATATACTCGGCTCAATTTTCAGTCATTTTTATTGAACTCGTTGTTACATTTCATAGTGTTTATAATTATGCCTCAACACAATAAACTCAATGTTACCAATAATATATCACACTGGTGATTATGATCTGTCAGAATTTCAAAATTTTCTGCACAGCCTATAGTTCACCGCAGCTTATGAATAAATAGTGAAGAATAAAATGAATCCTCAAAAATTTCTGAAATCATTGACAAGCTTTCGTGTCAAACGAACAAATCTATCAATAGTTCACCTAATCTGAATCTAATGAAAATTAACTTTGAAGACTATTTTTTTTATCTAAATTGGATTATGAATTACAGTTCAATAAAAATGCCTCCAAATGAGGTGAATATTTCAAAACATAAAATAAACCATCTCTCAAATTGGTTGCGTGGTCGTGATGAGAAGGTCCCCTTATTGATTTTTTTCTGCTCTTTCCAAATATCAAAACAGATCCACAAAATTTTGCCACACAGAGTGTTGTTTTTGAAATAAAGAAGTTTTCTGTTTTCTTAAGACGGACCTGGATTCTGATCTCAAATTTTAGTTAGTTTTGATGTGTAATATAACTGGAATATTTCTACAAAATATGAATAGATTATACAAAGTGGTTCAAAAGCTATGACCAGATGACTATTTTGCCAAAATCAAGATATCGACCATTATCTCAGTTATGAAAGACGGTAAAAACATCGATGGGGGTGATTTCAAACCGTCAAAGTGTCCTCTATCTGCAATTATCGTATTTACATTTGAGTCTGAAACACCCTGTATATACACTGTTGATGACTTTTGTTGTGCTATAGTTCCGAAAAATAAGCCAATAACACCGTCTCCGAGAAAGAACTGCAAGTCCTTTTATCTTCCATTCCACTTCACGGTTATTTCAATATTACTAAACAACCAATAAGTTCGCAAATTTTTTTTTCTGTGACGGGAAAAAGTTTGGCATTTCATTTCTGTTGGCAGGTTATAAAATGTCACTTCTCATAAATGTACTTTTTTCCCAGATATATATATCACATATATATTCACTGTTGATGGCTTTTGCTGTGCTATAGTTCCGAAAAATGAGTCAATAATATCGTCTTCGAGAAAGAACTGCAAGTCCTTTTATGTTCCATTCGACTTCGCGGTTACGTATATTACTGAACAACCACTAAATTCGCAATTTTTTGAAATCAAATCACAAAATTAGACTGACAGAAGTGACATCAGATATTTGATTACTTCAAAAAAATAATAAAGATGCCTACAACGCAGGTGTCCCTATGATATCTTCTCAATATTGATCCGTCCTTTCTTCTGTCACAGAAAAGAATAGTGTATTATACACGGGAAAAATATTAGATTTTAGCTCACAACACAACCTGGAGCTGAAATCTACAACTTTTTTCCCTTGTATAATAAAACACTATTATTGAAATCTAGCAGAAAATGGAGGCATATAGCTTCTAGAGCTATACTGGTGGGAAACAGATGAAGCAAGTCGTACCTTTCGTATATCATCTAAATTGTGTATTTCCGGTGATAATCCGCCATGGACGCAGAGGAACTGTTGGTTCATGAGCGCCGCCAGCGGCAGGCAGTCGAATGCATCCATACAGGCATCATATACGCGTTCGGAATATTTTATTTTACCTGAAACAAAAGAGACAGATTATTATTAGATGAACAATGATAGCATAGCCCATGATAGCATATGGGTCAGTAGTTTGGTGGCCAAAGACACAATAGGCTTGAGGGATTCGAAGGCTCAGTGCCATTCAAAGACAAGTTTGCCTAAGCGCCACCACCCCAACAGCCACTTTAGAGGTCCTCTTGAACTTGCCACCACTACAAATACACATTCATTCATTCAAGGCGAAGCCAGAGCAGTCGTGAGTAGCACAGAGAGTAGAGAGCAACACGCACGGTAAAGACTACAGGAAGCTATACAGGGTGTCCGGAAATTATGCGCAAAAAATCAAGGGGGTGATTCTGCATGTGAAAACATAAAATTCATTTCATATATACTTGGGTCCGGAAATGCATAGTACTCAAGATACAGTGTGTTGAACTTATTTAACCATAATTTAAGTTGGAATTGTGAAATCCAGTGGCGTCCCTGGGGCACCCTACCAAATATTATTGTCAATAAAATGTGCGCCACTGATTTTTTTGAATTCTACATCTTCATATCCTGATGATTAACTAAAAATACAACATTTCAATCTCCTGAATTGTTTTGCTATTTTGCCGCGTTTCCGTGGAAAAAAATAAATACCAATTCATTGTATAAATTTGTGCAAAAAATTGCTTCAAAAAAAGGGGTGAAATTAAATGTGTGATCCATGTTCACAGAAGTAGAATGAGAATGGAGATTCATTTTCTTCAAATATTTTATAATACATGTTTGACACACTTCGTATTATCGAAAACTATACGCGTGTAGAGTGTGTCAAACATGTATTATTGAATATTTGAAGATGATTATTCTTCATTTTTATTCTACGTCTATGGACATCGATCACACATTTAATTTTACCCCTGTTTTAGAAGCAATATTTTGCACAAATTTATACAATGAATTGGAATTCATTTTTTTCCACCGAAAAGCAGCAAAATAGCAAAACAATTCAAGAGACCAAAATGTTGTATTTTTAGTTGGTCAATAGGTTATGTAGATACAGAATTCAAAAAAATCAGTGGCGCACATTTTATTGACAATAATATTCGGTAGGTTGCCCATCGGGACGCCACTGGATTCCAAGATTCCAATTGAATTATGGGTATATCAGCCCTTTATGACAAAAAATATTATTGCCATATATTTCAAGAAAATCGGTGGAAAGACATTTGAGATATTCATAAAAAATCGATCTTTTTTAAAAGTTTCAACACACTGTATGTTAAAAACTATGCATTTCCGGACCTAGGTTCATATGAATTAAATTTCTTATTTCATTATGTAGAATGACTCCCTTGATTGTTTGCGCATAATTTCCGGACACCCTGTATGAAGAGTTGGAAAGCGACCCCATCATGGGCATGCCAACAGATGGCATAATTCCAAAATATAGCTTTGGAAAAACTTTCAAAATGAGTATAACGGAGAGAGAGGCATGGAAGGAAGGACCTCCTATCAATGCGGACATTGCTGTCCATACGGACGAGTCCAAAGAGCTGGTATTAATGGGGCCAAGCCAAAGACAAGAATTTCACTGATCTTAGGCAAATACGCGACGATGTTTCAGGCAGAAATTATTGCGATACATCATTGCGTAATAATATATCACATACTATACTTTACCTACTGTCATATAGTACATCAAAATAGTTTGCACAAACAGATTATAAGAATAATAATTCTAGACAGTTATGTCATCCGCTGTTGACGGTGATTACGCGATCATGACATACCTATACTGGCGTAATAAACGAAAACTGTGCGATGTGCTTACTGTGCTTACAGAGCCACTTACTGAGGCTGTATCTCGTGTGTTCTTGCCGACTTTCTATAGTGGCCGTAGGTGAGAGAATTACTAAGGCAAGAGTTCAAACTCGAGTTCAAAGAGAAAACCATTACAATTTATTCGGATAGCCAGGCGGCAATCAAAGCAGTTAACTCGATGCAAGTTGACTCAAAACTAGTAAGGCACTACTCAGAAACCCTAAATAAACTGGGTAGTCAGAACAGACTGACTCTAGCATGGTTACCAGGACATACAGGGTACGAGGGCAATGAAGAGGCAGACTCACTTGCCTGAGCAGGAGCGAACAAAGCTCTGAATGGCTCAGAACTTTTTTGTGGTATTGCGAAAGCTATACAAAAGACAAGTAAAGCATGGATGCAAACCAAATCTCAAGAATGGTGATACAACTCGCCAGGAATGAGATAGGCAAAAGAGTTTATTAAAAAACCATCGCCAACATTCACAAGATATCTACTAAGCCAGAAACGAAGTACAACTAGAATACTACTTGTAGGCTCAACAAACACATGAGTGAGATAGGTCTGACTGAAAAACTGCTGTGCAAGTTCTGTCAGGTAGAGGAGGAAACAGCAGTAGACATACTTTGACACTGTGAGGGCTTGTCAAAACTAAGGTTCCTCACGCTGGATATCCTACTATGATTGAGTATAAGGTTCCAATAGCGCAGTAGACAGAGTGTAAAGATTTTAGAAATTCATTCACAAAAGAGTAGGTTCGATTCTCCAGTGGGAGAAGCTTTTTCAATTTTCCTCTTTCTTCTAATATATACAAAACAAGAATGTTTCTTTTTGCAGCCAATCAATGTGCGCCAAACGCTTTGAAAAGGTTATGTTGTGTCCATGAAAAGTCTATGAAAAAAAAAAAAACAGGAAGAATGTATTTTTGTGGCATTCCAAGAATATCTCTATAAACCCCGCCTGCGACTGACATTGGCTGTTCTATGAAAGTTCTACTCATGTGTAAACATAACATCGCTGTGGAGGTTCAATGTCTCAGGATCTCGTACTTTTAACATCTCTGAGACGTTTTTGTGCTTGCTGGGAGAGATGGAAGGTGGAATGTGGGGTATTTTTATATTACTGACTGTGAACAGATCAGACACAAAAAACACGTTGTGGGCTCCTGGTCTAAGTGTTTTCGTTTTTTGGGAGCATATATTTAAATTTATAAATACTTCTTTTTTGTCGAGTTGTTTGAAAGCACGGCATTCGCCTCACAATAATTTGTCACTGCATTTTGTTATCAGATTGCAGTATGAGCTGCAATGTTTATTCTCTTCGTTCTTTGTTAGATATTTGATGGAACTCATAAATATTCAGAAAGGTTCATTATGTCCTGATCATTGAAATAACGAACGGACAGAAGAAAACCCTTTATCATTACGTATTTGAATTTTAAATTTTGGCTTTCATCCCAGAGCGATTTCAGCGCTTCTGCCCAGTCGTTTGCAGAAAAAAATGTATTCATGGCGTAACATCCGACTAACGAAAAAATGAACTTTTTAGTGATATCATCCAAACGTATTTGAATATTATATCATAACCCAAGTTGCATTCATAATATAATTCTCCAGTTGTACAATGCTGTAATTTTGCATTCGCAGAAAAAACTGCGGACCGACAAATGAAATTGACGTCATCAGAATCGATATTTGGGGGTGATATTGGGTTTTGTTCGAACAAGGCCATGACGTTTGAAAATGCTGAGATATGCAGGGTGATATTTCAGTAACTGGCCAAACTTCAAACGGCGATTAGTTGGGTGATTCTAAGACGAAAATTGCATATAAATATAGATCCTGAAATGCTTCGTCTTCAAGATACAAGGTGTCAGGTTGGTTGATTGTTGTTTTTCATGACTACCCTGTATAAGCTTTCGTGATGGCAAAATTTAGTCCGGTTGGTGACTGGTAATGTCTCAATATGACAGAATACTTAATACTAATTGAGGTTATTGGGTCATCCCAATGTTTTGTTTGTTTTGAGGGCACCTACTTTGAAATAATGAATCAAATCAATTTTTCATTATTTCCTCAGGAACTAGGTGATGGAAAAAAAAATAGTAGGGGACGAGAAAGTTGTATTTTCTATTGTTATTTCGAATTTCTGTCACTGTCAATTTGACCGCCAATATTTAGCATTTTAAATTATTTCAAAGTCCTGCTGCGTACATAAATGCGATAATTCGTTAGAAAAGAGATTCAAGTTTTTCAATTTTCCGAATGATCCTTTAAAGATAATGTCATGGAAGAATGCAATGAAACGTCCAGAATGGAAAATTAATTTCAAGAAATCCGCAATATGTGAGGTAAATATTCAAATTTACTTGTAAAAACAGTACAAAAAAGATGAATTTTAGGCCCATTTTGATAAAGATTCTTTCAAGCTGATGGATTTTAAATTGAAAGAGTCTTCTGTCCCGTCAATTTATAGTATAGAGACGTTCAAAAAAAGAGTTCCGTCGTCATCGTATTTGGAATTACTGAATGATACGATCGTAGAGAAAGAAAATGAGATGATGCGGAAAGAAATTGAAAGATTGACATCAAAACTAGAAGATTAAGAGAATTTGCAATGTGCTATGTCATCAGTCCACGGTGTTTTTAATTCAGATCGAATTCAAAATTTACAAGTGAATGTAGACTGCAGGAAGAGGTGGGAAACCGCCACGCTAATTCTACTGAAGCCAAATAGTAAAATTTTTTTTGAAGTCCATCTGGAGTTTTTTCATCGCATTTGTCAATAATAGCAAACATATTTTCTATACTTGAAGCCGTTGAACTTTGTTTCCGTTTTTCCAGATGTTTCTGCAATTCCCGTCTCTTGGCATTGCGTGCGTCTCGAGAACTACAGCAACTACAGACTTTGGTGTAAAGACAAAGTACCTCTTACTGCACAGACGAATGTGGTGTACAGCATCCCCTGTCAGGATTGTGATAAAATATACATCGGGCAATCAAAGAGATCATTAGCCAACAGAATCACATCCCATAGGAGCGACTGTAGGCTTCATCCAGAAAGATGTGCTTTGGCGGACCATGTAAATTCCTCTGACCACACAAGGGATTTTCAATCAGCAAGAATTTTAGCTACAGAAAGTAACCACAAAAAAAGAACTTTTTTGGAAA